CACACATGTTTCAATGTTTTCTTCCACAAAAAATTTGCCCATTCATTCATTTCTTGCACACTTGTTTTGTAGGCATTCATGGAGTACTCGAGCCGCAAAGCAAACCGAATATTTCTAACACTACAAGGTGTTTTGATGGAAGCTATGAAGAAGAAAGGTTGCAACAACTTCAAGATACCTCACATGAAAAAAGAAACATTGGAAAGAGAAGAACGTCTGCCAACTTGCATCCCTTGATCCATCATTGCTACATGAAGCTGAGGCTACTCTTGCTGCATGAAAAAATTAGAATGATGCTAGTTAGCTTAAGTAGTAGAGTCATTCTCTTGTAACAATTAATTAGAACTAAATTTAGCCTGTGCTACTCTTCTTGCGCATGTAACAATCAAACCATATCTTACCGATGCTTTGGCATCATCCTTTCTCAGCAGAGAACCAACCGTAATGCTCGATGAAAAGGTCGCATCCACCTCGACGCGGCCGCAAATGGCGCCACTCATGTAGTTCGCGTGGACGAGACCGCAGCGACGGCATGGCCTGAACCGCGAGTGTGCACGATTCCATGCTTCGCGGTCCTCATGGACAAGACCGCAGCGACCGCAAAGAAAAGTGCCCGCGGCAAGGAATCCGCACGATGGAGTCCGTCGCGATGGAGTCGGGCGCCATCTGCAAGTCCGCATGGAGTCCGTCGTGATGGACTCGGCCTCCTTGGCCTCCGCCACCGTCGCGATGGAGTTCAGCGTGATGGAGTCGGGCGCCATCTGCAACTCCGGCGTGATGGAGTCCGGCACCGCCTCCATCTACGAGTCCGGCACCACCTCCATCTCCAAGTCCGGCGTGACGACCTCCTCCGGTTCCTGCGCGACTCCGGCGAGATGACCTCCAGCGACTCCGCGTGATGACCTCCGCGGCGACTCGGTAGCGATCTCCTGCGACTCCTCCGCACCCGTGCCGCCCAGACTCCACGACGAGCACCACCTGCGCCACGAACTCCATGGCAAACCTAAACACTAAGCCACGACGACGAGCGTGAGAAAGCGAGGGCGAGGCGAAGCAAGACTCTGCGCGAGGGCGCGCGTGTTTTTATCCTTGCTTTGACGCGAGCGACGGTTGCGGCGAAGTCTTTGAGTACTCCGATTAACGAAGCGGGCGGCGAGCGTGCTGGGCATCGAACGGAGAACCAATGAGCGCTTGTGAACAAAGCGTCGCCAGGGGCAAACGCGTCCAAAACCAGCCCCTCAAGCCAGAACGACTTCCTTTTGCATGGATGTAGCGTCGCCCAGAACGACTTTTATTTCCTATATGGAGGGAGTACAAGCTAGATTCTTAGAATGCCAATTCAAAACTTATTAAACTTTGGCCGGTACCATATGTCAGAAAATTGGGTTCATCTAACAAGAATGATATATAAATTGATTCATCACCAAATGTTTTATTTTTGTTAATTTGAAATAAGCAATGACCAAAGTATGTGTAAAGGGGACAGTTTCCATGTTATATGTTATGTAGTAGGTAAATCAGATTGGACATACTAATCAGTAGGCACTTTCTCAAATTTTTGAAAATATCAGCTCATGAATCATGAGAGTGAAGATGCAGTGCAAGAATTGTTGGTGGCGTCATCATATATATGGGAGAAATGAGCATGATTCCTAGCTGTCATCATGCAACGTTTTCATGACGAAAGTTGACACAAAGATATACATATATGCACGTGCTATGTTCCCAGCAAATAATGACTATTGAAAAGAACAACTTAGTTCATTTAATCATTTTCACTTCATAGAACATGTTGCATGTATATGCAGGTGTATGACCATCGATGCAAGGAGGACGAGAAAGTAACTGAGACGTGTGCTGAAAGAACTAATGCGCCATGGGAAGTGTCAGAGTTTGCATACCCGAAGCATTTGCCACTGACAGAGCTTGAAATCATTGGTTTCAATGCATCAGAAGAACATATAGTGTTTGTTTACACCAAAAATTGGAAGAAGAACGCAGAAATTCGAAAGCTTCCAAAAATGTGTCAATCAAGAAATCGATTGCATAAGGATCGATATCAGCTGATTCAGATACGACTCTAGATTTGGATATCTTTGGATGACATTAGCAGATAGCAATAATGAGCTACGGTTGGCGCCAGAAAACTACATATCGGACTCTAAAAAAGAGAAAGATTAGAATCCAAGTTATCTTAAATTAGGAATGCTTTCTTCTATGCCGAAGATTGTAACCAGTCGTGCTCGAGTAGGATTCATGTTTAGGCTCTGGGTATAAATATCAGACCCCGGCTATTGTAAAGGACACGCAATCAATCAAATACAAGTTACTTACTTTTTTCGGCTTCGGCCACCCCTTAAGAGTAGGAGTAGGAGTAGATCTCGGCGAGTTCTTCAGCGAGCAGGGCTGCATCGGTCCGGCCGACCTCCGGCTTGTCTGTAAGTACCATCATGGCTTATACTTCTGTTCGTACGGTTGCATCGATCCGGTCAACCTCTACTGCGACTCTGGTATAAGCTAGTTATCGACTCTTGTTTAGTTCAAGTACGGCTGCATCGATCCGGTCGACCTCCACTGCTCGAACTAGATTAAGGTCAAGTTATCGGCTCTATCTAAGGGTGGCGTTCCTTCAGATAAATTTATTAAGTTACCGATATTTCTTATTACTTTAATTATTTATTTAATTACAGGAATATCACTCGTCCAATTGGGATTGATCTAGATCGGCCTTATATCATGTTTAACCCAACGTTTGTTAATCTAAACTGATCCAATCTACATCTTAAACGATGAGCTATGTTTTATCGGCTGTTTTATATCAATCTTGATCGTGCATAGTATGCGGTTAAGGCGTGTCTGGTCTTAAATAGATCTATTGGCTAGCGAAAACTGTTCCATGGCCCGCTATCACAGCATGTGTGATTCTGCCTCATACCACACTGTTAGCACCGTGGAGTGGAGATCGTTATTTGGTAGATCTCTTTCTGATAGGGCATGACCTTAACTGTGCGCTATGCCTGAATCGGCTGTTTTAGCCGATATCGAGCGCTTTCACATATGCAGTTCACGTCACGAGACCGTTGAAGTAGACATAGGTTGAAAGATATGTTAGCTCCGTGATCTTATTATTGTATTACGGCCTGCATGATTCTGTCTCATGCCCCATTGATATTAGTAATAAGTTAGGGTCGTCGAATCTATTGTTGTTTCTACGGCCTGCATGATTCTGCCTCATGCCCCACTGGTTATAGCGATAGATGAGATCTAATATGTTCATTAGATTTATCTTTATTAAATGGTTAAATGGTGATGAGCTGCTTCTTTATATAAAAGGGATTCGGTTACTTGCAGTCATTGGCTTAGCATAAACTGATTATTGTTGACATCTTATTGCCATTGACTAATATTTGTCTAAATAACGAGATTCGTCCTGAATGATAACCGATTTTTTTTACACAACCTCATGAGCTTTAACTGATTTATTCTTATGAATATGCTGGAATCAACTATTTAGTCGATCTCCTTCCATATCGGCTCTCAGAGCCGCACATTCGGTACTGTCTGGCAACATCGGCATGTTCCGCCTTAAATTACTGATTAGCTTTCTCTCCTTATCAATTACAGGGTCAAATTGACTGACACGTCTCGGGAGGAGAGCGCAGGATCGACTACCCCTGCGTTGAAGCCAGGCGGATCTACAGCTCCATCGAGCAGACCCTTCCGACTTGCTCGTGTGCTCTCGGCACGGGACGAAATTTTCGTACCAACAGTGTTTATAGGAGCAGTGATGGAGCGGGCTTCTAACTTACAGTCGGTTGTTTTGAAAGACAAGTGCTGTAAGGAATGCGAAGCAACCAGTACAGCGTCAGTAAAACGTAAATTTCCAGAGAGTGAAGATGAACAAGAGCTGGTAGTGAATAAGCTCAGAGACCGGTTCTCCACCCATGCTCGGATAATTTTCAGTGACCGTAAGGTTGTCAGCGAACGTGTGTTTGCCTGAAATGAAAAAGATACCTGAAGATTGTTCATGTTTGACTATATGTATGTATTGCTCGTCGCTATAGTATATGGTTTTCTTATAAAATCAAGCTGCCAGCACGATCTATTTCGGGAAATAACGATTGTCTATATAAAATTAAAAAAAAATCGAGCGCTGGAGCTCTCTGTCGCCTGCATGGCTGCATCCCTTTTCCCTTACGCCGTGCGCCGCCTAGCCTATCTGAGCTATCTCGCGGCCTCAACGCCCTGGCCCAGCCCAACGCGGCAGCTGGCCTTCACCTTTTGTTGGCCGGGCTAGCCTACCGCCGTGTGCCGATCTCCATCATCCGCGGCTCCGGTTCCTTAAAAAAAAAAAAAACCTCCGCTCCGTCCAGAGTGCGCCGCCACCAGCTCCGGAGCTCCCAAAACATCACTAGCTTACTGCCGCCACGCTCCCCTCCACCGACACCACACCCACACGCCGCCGCCAACCCTTGCCTCCGCCTCATGCATCGCCGGGGCCGTGAGGCCGGCGCCCCTGCCCCACGATCCAAACCTTTTTGTGTTCGAAGAGAATAATTTCCAGCCTGCAATGGTCGACGGACTTAAGGTCGGAGTGCAGTTCATTTTCTCCCTCCGTTTTTTTTTTCTGTTTCAATTTCAAAATGCCCCCATCGACGACTCGGATAATTCGGAAAACGTATTCGGATCAGATTTAAGGGCTGGTCCGATCTGTATTTGGAGACACTCACGCCTGTATAAATAAACACAAGTACACAATTATTCCATCTCCAGTTTCAAAGGTTCATAATTAGATTGAAGGCCCCTCCAATCCAATTGTATTTGGAGGAATCTGCACAGCCATATACAAATATAGACACAAGAGTACAGAATTGTTTCGCACCTTCAATCGAAGTCTTACAATTGGATTGAAGGCTGGTCTAGGCTTGCGTTTGGAGGGAGCTACACCCCCCATATATAATTAAACGCAAGAATTCTTGCAAGCTTGTGTCGTATTCCTGATGGCACACGAGGCCGGACATACCCATGTAAGTTCTATGTTGAAACATCTCTGTTAACTAGCTACTTTCTTAAGGTTATATTGTTCTTCCTCGTATGGCATTATATGAAAATTTAAATAAATTCTATGTACCAAAGAAAAACTCAAACATAGTTTTTTTTAACATTGTCGATTTTTCAAATATACATACATTATGAATCAGAGGAAGAAGCCCTTTACACAGGATTTAAAATAAGGCTGATAATTGTGTAAGATTAATATATTGTTTTGTTGTTTTTTTCTAGACATCAGGTTTAGAAGAGAGTAATTTAGCATTTGGTCAACAGAACTGGTTTAGTTCCAGTGTGTTTACACCACTTGGCCTACAGCTAGGGATGCCAAAAGGACTTGATATAGACTATAATCAGAAGAGACAAGTAGATATGTAGAGTATATAGGGACTTGTTCACCCATGGACTATATGTTATTGCTTTAATATATTTATATTTTTATTGGTACGAATTTACGTGGAAACTTTGCATTAAAATATTAACTGCTTTTGATCTTGCAGCAAGTTGGGGAAGACATGATAAGCAAGTTAAATGACGATGTTTTGCTCTCAATCTTAGAAAATGTCGACTTAACAACATCAGTGAGGGCAAGTGTCCTATCCACACGATGGAGACACCTTCCGTGGTTGCTCGGACAACTAAACATAGATATGATGGACTTCTTTCATGAACCATATGCCGATCCCACAGTGGATGATCACATTGATAAAGCAATGTCATCTCTGACAGAAGCAGTTAGAAGCATGTTGTCTCCGTCCTGCCGGAAGACAATCATCACCAGACTTTGTATTTCACTAATTGTTGCCAACAGTTATTCAATTGAAATCGGTCATCTTGTTAATGAAGTGGTTGAAAATGGGATGGTAAAAGATATAGAGCTCACAAGTGGGATTGAGAGGAACCTGGGCGCTGTCAGTGATGATGAAATGGTAAAACATGCTAATGGTGTGAATAGTTTCTTTGGTAACTATCCAAATATATCTTGTTGCCTCACAAGGCTCCTCCTTTTTAATGCGACCTTTGCGGAATCAGATCTACATAATCTTATTGCAAATGTATGCACGGAACTTCGTTATCTTTATCTCGGCCGGTGTGATACTGGCTTCCAATCAATATTCAAGATAGACGCACCAAACTCAAAACTCAACATTCTAGAACTTTTCCACTGTTATTTTTCACAAATTGAGTTGCATTGCCTTCCAATGCTAGAGAAAGTCATATTTGGATTTTGGCTAACTAAATGTGTGCCCTTGACTTGGAGACACATCCCATGCCTCAAGGAAGTGGAAGTCTTTTCAGCCATGCCACCTCATCAGGAACAATTCAAGTTAAGTGAGTTTCTATGTGGTGCGGCATGTATAAATACTTTATCATTGGATTTCCTCGGGCAAAAGGTAATACATATATATTCAATCACTACTGTCTCTATAGTTATCAGCTCTGGCCTTATGCCTAGGCATAGTATTAACTTTTGAGCTAAACAGTGTGTATTAACTTTAGAGCAGAACAATGAAATTATGTTTTGTGTGTCTCACTGTTTGGAAGACTTTGTTGATATAGGTTTCTTTAATTACATTGAATGATCATATAGAACTGATTGATTCTGTTATCATTCATTTAGGGAGCATATACTTGGCCAAATACTCACATAACATTTTTTTCTTGTTTTCATTCACTAACTGAACATTTTTTCCTGTATTCTTTCTTTCTCAACTCTCCAGATTTGGCTACTACCTGAAAAACACCAACTTTCCTCAGCATTTAGCAATTTGAGGAACTTGTGTATATATGATATCTTTGTTGGATTTGGCCTTTTGTGGACAATAGCTCTTCTTGAAGTTGCGCCGTCCCTCGAGATACTTGAAGTTGAGGTACTTTTGCAGTTTTGCTTGTTTCTGAAAGAGAATATAATTGGAGGAATATTCTGGGTTGGGCAGCGGAAGACCTAACCTAGTTTGATACCATGAAAGAGAATATTCCTCCAATTATATTCTCTTTCAGTTTCTTTAATAATAAAATTGAGCAAAACCTTTTTTATCAAGAAAAAAAATATCCAGTGACCTTTATGCCTTTGTCATTTATGAATATTGCTGAGTGGTTCATGTGGTGGAAGAGTGCGCCTAATAGAATTAATGGATTTGTTGCAATGATACTTACATTGGAAATACTAATCAGTAGGCACTTTCTAAAATTCTCAAAAAAGTTATCACCTCATGAGAGATGATGCAATGCAAGAACTATTGGTAGTTCACCATATATATGGAAGAAATGAACATGACTCCTAGCTGCCATCATGGAATGCCACATGTTTTCATGCATATGCACGTGCTATGTGTCGCTCAGTACTATTAGTTCCCTGCAAATAATATTTGTGATTATTGATAAGAACTTGGTTCATTTAATCATTTTCGCTTCATAAAACATGTTACATGTATATGCAGGTGTATGACCATCGATGTGAGGAGGACGAGAAAGTAACTAAGTTGTGTGCTAAAAGAAGTAATGCGCCATGGGAAGTGTCAGAGTTTGCATACCCGAAGCATTTGCCACTGAAAGAGCTCGAAATCATAGGTTTCAATGCATCAGAAGAACATCTAGTGTTTATAGGTGCAGTGATGGAGCGGGCTTCTAACTTACAGTCGGTTGTTTTGAAAGACAAGCGCTGTAAGGAATGCGAAGCAACCAGTACAGCGTCAGTAAAACATAAATTTCCAGAAAATGAAGATGAACAAGAGCTGGTAGTGAATAAGCTCAGAGACCGGTTCTCCTCTAGTGCTCAGATAATTTTCAGTGACTGCAAGGTTGTCAGCGAATGTGTGTTTGCCTGAAATGAAAAAGATACTGAAGATTGTTCATGTTTGACTACATGTATTGCTCGTCGATATGGTCTATGGTTTTCTTATAAAATCAAGCTGCCAGCATAATCTATTTCAGAAAAGATACGACTGGTTCATTAATATTAATCTAGGCATTGTGAGTTGTATAATAACCATTGTTCGCCTAAATAGTTATTTGGCTCGTTTACATCCCGTTTAAATGCTATATAGCGGTACACCATTTCTGTTTAATTCATTGTATTTAAAAAATCCACTTTTAGTCCTCAAACTGTGTAATTTAGTTCTCGACCTTAAGCTCTAAAACCGAACATGGGTGACCCTACAACTATTAAAATCCCCTTAGCTGGTTTCAAAGGTGGTTTTGAGTATTATGTAAAAGAGTTAAATGTAACATATGTCTATTAACTTGTGAGCTGGTTTCAGTTAGGTTCATTAACTTTCAAAGTGGTTTTTTTTATCCAAACTTTTTATGATGTACCACTTAGGTCCATAGTTGTCTACGTTGGCTTCTCGTGCTAATGTGGCATGATGACTAGGCTTTCCTCTGAAGCAGCTCTTTGCCAATGCATTTTGTCAAACAGATTGCGGGTGTGTCGGCGAGCCGACGTTGCGGCCACGCGGGTGCGCGCAGGAGTCGCGGTCGCGCGGGCAGGCCCGCTGTGGGCACACGGCGCACGAGCAGGCGCCGCCACCACCGTCGTCACACGAGCGCGCGAGCACGCCCACCGCGGCCACGCGGGCGAGCGAGCACCCAACCAATGCCGCCAGCAGTCTCCACCGTCGTGACCCTGCTGCGCGCCACGTAGCCGTCACGCTCAGCATCCTCGTCCTCGTCCTCTACCTCATCTTCAAGCCGCGATGCAGCATCCTATCCCAGGCTATCGGACACGTCGTCGCCGCCACACTTGCGCCAGCACTCAAGGCGCGCCCAGGGCTCCTAGGCGCCGTTGCCATCTGGGCGGAGGATGAGCCACGCGCGGCGGCGGCGGCTCGCCGGCGCGCCCAGGCCTGCCGTGCCACGCACGCCAGCGGAGAGTGAATAAACCTTAGCTATCAGCGGCCGTGGAGCTTATTTCCGAGCTCCTGATTGGCTGTTTTTTTATTATGGACCCCATGTGCATGTCACTTTTCGCAGCAGTGGACCACATGCATGCAGCCGGCTCAGGGCGTTTGGCTCGTTTGCTCTGGCTCGGCTCGTTCAGCCTGTTCACACTCGCCTCTCTCTCTCTGTCTCGTATCCCCTTCCATTAGGTCCCGTCTCCTTCTCACGTAGGGGGTTGCGCCGCCGCCATCTTCCTACAACGCCGCAGTCGCCTTCTTACTGGGACGCCGCCAAGGCCTCCGTCAGACCATGGCACATCTATGACGAGCACGCAACGGTACTATCTCCTCCTCCCCCGTCTCTCTCGCACTGCTCCTACCTCTGGTTAGATCCCAAAGATCATCTAGAGTAGCATCTAGTCGGGTGATTCTTTTATTTGGGATGAACAAGTAGATAACCTAATGAACCGTACTACAGAGTGATAGAGAGAGGAGAGTGGATGGGAGTGTACAGACCATCGGAGGGCGCCGTCGAGGAGGATCCACCATCTCGTTCTGTCGGTGATGTTCTCTGCGCCGGGCAGCGATGGTCGGAGAAGAGTCGAAAGTCCGTCGACGCGGTGGGGTGTGCGATGAGGCCGACGGTGATGACGGTGGCGTCTTCCGTCATTGGGCAAGGCGCGCCCTTACTAGATCGGACTTAGGGTTTGTTGGTGGGGCGGATTGGCTCACGGTGAACCTCGTACTATGAGCCGCCGGCCCTCACCACTTTATATAGCGCAGTGCGACGGGGCCCCACCAACCATGTAGGGTTGGGTGCCCCCGATCAGGGCGCGTGACCAAGGCCCAATAGGCCGTTGGGCTTATTGGCTGGGAGATCAATCCAACATTCTCCCCCTTGATCTCACACTATTACTTTTATCTTTAAACTTTAAACTTCAATTATTTTATCCTTACTCATTTCTTCACAGATGATGCATAGAGCATGTTTCATCGTCACGGTCAATCGTCGATAGATTTAACAGCTACAATGCACGTCTCTGATCTGAAATAGATACTTTAACTTTTGGGCCCTTTATAGTCCAGGAATCATAGGCTTTCCCTTAAACCCATACCGGCTACATGTTCTCTGAACACGTTGGGTGGTAAGCCTTTTGTAAGCGGATCCGCAAGCATCTTTTCGGTACTTATATGCTCAAGACTTATCATTTGATCCCGGACTCTATCATTCACAACATAATACTTTATGTCAATGTGTTTGGTAGCACCACTTGACCTATTGTTGTGAGCATATTGTACTGTTGGATTATTATCGCAGTATAACTTCAGTGGTCTATAGATGTCGTCAACCACTTTCAAACCGGGTATGAACTTCTTTAGACAGTTCACCTGCCCCGATGCCTCATATCATGCTACAAACTCGGCATACATTGTGGACGATGTAGTGACAGTTTGCTTTGAGCTTTTCCATGAAATAGCTCCTTCTGCGAGAGTGAATACATATCCCGACGTGGATTTTCTATCATCTCCCGCATAATCAGAATCCGAGTACCCCACCAATTGGAGAGATTCTGATCTTCTATACGTCAACATGAGGCCTTTCGTACCTTGCAAATATCGCAAGACTTTCTTTACCAATTTCTAGTGTTCCATTCCTGGATTACTCTGAAATCTGCCAAGCAACCCGGTAACAAAAGCTAAGTCAGGGCGCGTACACACTTGAGCATACTGTAAGCTTCTGACAGCTGAAGCATATGAAACCGCTTTCATTTGATCGAGCTCGTACTGGTTCCTGGAGCATTGAAAATCTCCATATCTGTCGCCCTTGACTATAGGAGCAGGCGATGGACTACATTTATGCATACTGAATTTCTTTAATACTTTTTCTATGTATGCCTTTTGTGACAGTCCTAATACCCCCTTTCTTCCATCTCGGTGAATTTCTATGCCCAAAACATATGATGCTTCACCAAGGTCTTTCATGTCAAACTTTGAGGACAAAAACTTCTTTGTCTCCTGCAGCAGACTCACATCACTACTAGCAAGTAGAATGTCATCCACATATAGAACGAGGAAAATAAATCTCCCATTCTTAAACTTTGCATAAATGCAATTGTCCTCAACATTCTCTTTAAACCCAAAATTCTTTATTGCTCTGTCAAACTTCAAGTTCCACTGTCTTGAAGCGTGCTTCAATCCATAAATGGATTTCTTTAGGCGGCAACCCATTCTTTTCTTTCCTTCTACAACAAAACCTTTTGGTTGTGCCATATAAACATTTTCCTCTAAATCTCCATTTAGGAATGCCGTCTTTACATCCATCTGATGTAATTCTAAATCATAATATGCCACTAATGCCATTATAATTCTGAGAGAATCCTTACATGAGACTGGAGAAAATGTCTCATTGTAATCTATCCCCTCTCTTTGTGTAAAACCTTTCGCCACTAGTCGCGCTTTAAACCTTTCTATATTCCATCTGGAGTCATATTTTGTTTTGTAGACTCATTTGCAGCCTACTGTTTTGGCTCCTTTAGGAATTTGTTCTAAATCCCAAACACCATTGGAACTCATAGATTCTATTTCATCTTTCATAGCTTTCAACCACTTTGATGAGTGTTCGCTTCTCATGGCTTCTTCATACGAGGTGGGATCACCCTCCATATGAAACTCTTCAGTATTATAGATTTCATAATCATCAGAAATAGCTGATCTTCTAACTCTTTGAGACCTTCTAAGGGCCTCCACATTTGGCACATTTTCTGTTTGAGGCTGTTGTTGCTCCCCCTCATGTGTGGCAACAGGTTCTGTAGGATTCTGAACCATGGGTTCCTCATCCTCATTCGTAGTTGTCATAGGAGGAATAACAACAGGTGCTGGCACCACAACATCTTGCATTGTAGGTGTAGCAGCAGCAGGTAGCTCGAAAAATGGCTCCTGAACCATCGGAGTGGGTGCATACACCCGTTTCTCCTCAAGATCAATTTCTCGAGCTACCATGCTCCCCCTCATCATTTCATCCTCTAGGAAGACAGCGTGTCTTGTTTCCACAAACTTTGTATGTCTATCTGGACAGTAGAAACGAAAACCTTTTGACTTTTCTAGGTATCCAATGAAATGGTAACTTACTTTTTGGGATCTAACTTCCCAATATTTAGGTTAAATACTTTAGCCTTAGTAGGACTCCCCCACACACGTAAGTGCTCTTCCTGTCCACAATTCATACGGTGTTTTGGGCGCCGACTTACTTGGTACTCTATTGAGAATATGAATGACGGTTTTTAACGCCTCTATCCACAGGCTCAACGGTAAGGTGGAGTAACTTATCATACTACGCACCATATCCATCAGGGTACGGTTACGCCTTTCAGCTACTCCATTCTGCTGAGGTTCGCCCGGTGTTGAATACTAGGCGACTATACCATTCTCCTGTAAGAACCTTGCAAAAGGTCCAGGAACTTGTCCATATGGGGTATGCCGACCGTAGTACTCCCCCCATGGTCAGACCTGACTATCTTAATCTTTAAATCATGCTGCTTTTTAACTTGTACTTTAAATATTTTGAATTTATCCAACGCTTCTGTTCTTTCTTTAATTGGATAAATGTAGCCAAAACGAGAGTAATCGTCTGTGAATGTTATGAATGAATCATAACCATCCACACTTTTCACAGAAAAAGGACCACATATGTCTGTGTGAATTATCTCTAAAATTCCTGTACTTCGTTTGGCATCCTTTTTAATTTTCTTTACATACTTTCCTTTTATGCAATCTCTACATTGTTCTAAATCTGAGAGCTCTAATAGAGGAAGAATATCATTCTTAACTAGTCTTTCTATTCTCCCCCTCGAAATATGGCCTAAACGACAGTGCCATAATTTCAACAACACATCGTGAGCTCTCTTTCGTTTTCTGTTTGCATTGTTCGATGAGGATACATTCTTATTCAC